CTGGAAAGAAGTAAGTGTGGACTGTGTGGCCCCAAGATGACCCGGTGGTTCTAGGAATAACATGCAGATATCTGGAGAGATGAGATTCCCGTCTGTGGTAGGCATTAGTCCACACAGACTCACAATGAAATAATAAACAGAAAGGACCTGGCACTGGTCCAGGTCAAAAGCCTAGGCTATGCCGGCAGTGGGCAGCTGCCAACACCTGCCCTGTGCTTCTGCAGCAAGAGGTGTGGGAACGGGGTAGGCCTGGACCTAAGAGACGTTGAGATGGTGCCAAGGTGCCGCTATTTCTACCCCATGCCTATCTGACCACACCCTCATCCCATGTAAGGCACCTGGGACCTTGAAATGGCCTGTACCTCAAAAGGGAAAAAGTAAGGGCTCGTTAACATCATGCTGAGAAGTCTGGATTCAAATCCCAGCTCCAATGCCCTCCCACTGAGGGACCTTGGGAAAGTTACTCAACCTCCCTAAGAGGCTCTTTCCTCACTTGTAAAATGTCGATAACACTAGTGCCCTTCTCGTAGGGCTGTTGAATGAAATTGTTTGCATAAAGCACTCCTCAGAGTGCCTGGCCTATAATAAACAGTGAACACACAGTAGCTATGGTTCTTGTTTATTTTAATTAACAGCAAATGCAGGGAAAACCCTAAGGGTCAGCAAAGATCCATCCTAAAAGGGTTTTTGGGCCCTAAAACATTCACCTGTTTTGGCCTGGCCTAAGGGACCAAGCCAGAATCTGAGCAGATTTCACAAAACATCTGTTATTGCTATCTTCTCCCCAGCATGCCAGTTTCCTTTATACCTATGATAGGTTTGGGGACCCAATGTCCCAATTTGCCCAGAACAGACCTGGATTATGCTTATTGACTCAGGGTCATTATTAATAGCACATCCTTTTGTTCATGAGAGTCACCATTATGATGATGAATGATATGATCATCCTAGTTATAGGTCTCTTGACATCTTTTTCTCCAAACCTGTTCCATCCTGCACCACCTCTTCATAATGAGTTTCCTAGTATATCAAAGTTACTATGAAAAAGCATTTTTCATCGGTCTTTACTTTACCTGAGCCATTGTTGATGGTTCCCTCAGTTTATTTCAAAATCTGATGAATGGATTCATCTCTACCCTAGCCAGATAATGTCCACCTTTTAATGTGCTCAAGCCAAAGTACCTAGACAGTTAGTCTGTCCTATACCAATAAGATTCTCCATTCCCACTTTTAATTTATTTTCTCTGGAAATTTTCCAGTGCCACTGAATCTTTTGTAAAATTTTACTGTGGCTATTTTTTAAGACAATAAAATATTTCCTCTTTTTCTTCCAGTGTTTGGAGTCAGGAGATGAAGGTTTCAGTGCCAGCTCCATCTTTGTGACCTGCAAGAACTCACAGAGGTCACTTAATCTCCCTGAGCCTCAGTTTTCTCATCTCTACAATGGTAATAATATGCACATAGTCATGTCACCTGCAAATAATGATAGCTTTACTTTTTCTCTTCCTGTATGTCTTTTATTTTCTTGCTTTAGTACACTGGCTAAGACCTCAAGTACAATGTTGAATAGAAGTGGTAAGAGTGGACATCCATGCTTTACTCTCATTCTTATGAGAAAAGGATTTAATGTTTCACCACTGAATGTGTTGTTATCTGTACATTTTTCATCAATGTCCTCTATTGGGTTGAAGAGGTCCCCTTCTGGTCCCATTTACTGAGCATGTTGAATTTTGTCAGATATACTTTCTCTCTTCATTGACATGACCATATGATTTCCTCCCACAGCCTGTCATTTATCAAATTACAGTGATTAATTTTTAAGTATTTAAAGCATTTTACATTCTTGGAATAAATCCCACTTATGGCTGGACTCCATTTGCTGATTTTGTGTTAATGACTTTTATATCTACATTATTAGTGTCATGCTACAAGAAAAGTATTTCTATTCCCTTCCGATCCTTGAGAATCAAATGAGACTGCTCATTTAATTTGTTTTGTAGACTGTGAAGTGCTGTGCACAAATAGGCTCTAAAACCACTGCACCTGCTACTGATGATGTCAACACCTGGTGCAAAGGTGGCCTTGCCACAGCCACGGCCCACAGGCTGGTCAGGAGCCAGGCTCAGTGATCCATTCCCACTTCCTCACAAATCTGGTCACAACCAATAGCTCAACCCTCAGCCTATGAGTCCGGCAAAGATGCCTCCTGGATTTTCCAGGGAGGACCCAATCTTAAATATTCTCTCCTAGTATCAAATCTCATCACACCATATGTCCCGATTTTGAGTTTAAGAATAGTTCTCCCTGAATGCACTGACTTACTCTTGCCTAGAAAGAAACTCACCTGCCACTTTCTTGACTACTCAGGTAGATCCAAAACATTTCCCCACAATGTCCAAACTCCAGAAATGACAGGACTTAACGATATGCACAAAGCTTTAATGTATCTATAAAGATTTCAGCCTCTACTTCAGAAGTTTAAAGGGAAGTAAGATTCCTTGGTTTTGACAAAGGTTATTAAAATTATCCTAATTTGCTTGTCTCTTGCATAATCTTGCATGTTCTTTCATTCAGTCATTTATTCAGCAAGTATCTACTGAGCATCTGCTATGTGCTAGGTACTAGGCATTGTTCCAAATGCAGGAGCTATGGCGGGGGACAGGATGGGCAAGACAGTGCTGTCATAAGGCCACGGTTGTTCAGGTGCTAATTTGATGTTAAAGCCCTGCAGTACTAACCAGACCTTCCTTCAGGACCACAATACTCACTCCCCTAGCTGCCAGGAGTTTAGGCTACTGATAACTCACATCTGAGAGCCTCCCAAGGCCTTGCCTTTGGCCAACACCAGAAGTTACATTCCCTTCTAGCCACATCTCATACTGATGGTTGGGGTTTGGGGGGTTACAAAGGCCAACTCCCTTGCTTCAGTATAGGATCCCTGTGAGGGGCTGTCCTAGCTCTGTATCCTACCTTCATGGCAACTCGACTCTTCCTGCTGCCCCATTCTCCTTTCCGCACCTCTCCCAGGTATTTTTTCCAGAGCATTCTCTGATCAACTGTCTGCACACAAATCCCTAAGCACTGGAGGAATGAGCTTAAAACAAGTCTAAATCCTGCTATCTTCTTAAATGCTGTTTCTGGAAGGTGGTAAGAGATTAACTAAATGACTATTAAATGCCTTTCTTTAAAAATAGTAGAGCTTAAAAATATACCAGGACCTAAGTAGAAAAGTTCATTGAAAAGCTGAAATCATTTTTTCCCCAAAATTAAAGCTATAACTGACGATTCCTCAGGGAAATCATGGCTCTCAACTACTACACTTCTTAAAAATGTAACCAAACAGAAAAAACCACCTACCACACAGAACAAGAGTTCAGGAAATTTTGTCTAACATTAAAGGTTCAGGTGTGCAGCATTCCAGACTTGAACCTCGGAAGTTAGTATAGCACTATTAAAGGGGCCAAACCCCCAGCTATGATGGGGACCACAGGCAGCCACCAGTTGTGAGACAGCATTTCTGTCTCACACAAGAACTTTTATAACAGAGCGACCTAGAATCTTCACATTAATTCCATGCTGCATGGTTCGTGACATTCTTTCAAGTTTGATTTCTTTTGGATGGCAGAGCCAAATTTTTCAATGGTGCAATGAGATATGGCAAGCCACAAGGAGGCTTTCAGATGGGAAAAGACTTGGCTACTCAACCAGCACTGGACAGTTCATGCTGTGTGTTTTTCCAGTACCTGGTAGGGGCCCAGTGAGGGATTCCTACTGATGATGGCCTCATTGGCCCCTGAGGTATGATGTCAGAGGGTAAAATGATGAGCCCCTGATGATTCACTCATTCATTTATCAAACTATTTATTCAACAGTGGATTGGTCAGGCTGAAACCTAAGGCAAATCACAAACAACCAACCAACCAGAGTAGCTTAAGGAAGCACGGGTTTGTTCCACACTCATGTAACAGTACAAGGTGAATGGTCTAGGGTGGGGGGAGTTCTGCCATCTGCCACATGTGGTCATTCAGGCCCAAGCCTTTCCATCCAGTTGCTCTGCTACCTTCCAGAGTGTTGCTTTTGCCTACACAGTCATGCTGATCATGGGCACCCCCACACTCCTGCCCTCAGGAAAATGGGTACCAGTCTAGGGCTAGGGCTTGGCTTCCCATCAAATGAGGCAGAAGTTACACACATCACTTTCTCTCTAATTCTGCAGGTAATGACTTGGGCACTAGCCACCCAGCCATAAGACGAGCTAGTGAGGTTGTCTCGCTGGGCACCTGGTGATGTTCAGCTTAAATCCTATTAGTATAGGAAACAGAAGATGCTTTGGTGGACACCGGGCAGTTTTTGCTAACAACACAAAGTTTGAACTTGGCATCCTGGACAGCAGTGAGTCCCATAGTGCTCTCTCCCATGGAACTTACAGTCTTGTGGGGAACAAAGTGGATAAGTACAGAAGTAACTACCAAACATAAAAGTCCAGGAAGAACAGAAAGTGATGCTGTGATAAAGACAAGAAAAGAGGGCACTAGACACAGGAAGTTAACGCACAGTCACGGGAGGGGCAGAGGGGTGCGTGTGCCTTGAAGCCAGTCCACGGAGTGGAGCTGGAGCAGAGTGAGCAAGGGCAAGAGGCAGGGGTAGGGACGTGGAGGGAACAGAGCAAGACCCAACAGCCCCTGCAGGCCGTGGCGAGGCAGTCTCACAGGGAAGCGCCTTGAGAAGGTATGTTACCTAATGTGATTTGCTTACATGTTTAAGACCCCTGTGGCTGCTGTGGGGAGAGCATAGCCATCTGTGTAATCTACCCATTACAATGAAGGAGGAATTCTAAGGCCAAGAGAGCAAGTGTTTAAACCTTACCTCTAAAGAAAGAATTTAAGTATAAATTGGTAGTTACAGAGTAGTCATGGAGATGTAAAGTACAGCATAGGAAACAGAGTAGCCAAAGAACTCATATGCACAACCCATGGACATGGACAACTTTGGGAGGATGCCTGAGGGAGTGAGGGAGGGCGGCTAGGTGAAGGGGGCAGAGGGAGAAAAATTGGGACAACTGTAATAGCAAAATCAATAAAATATAATTTTAAAGATACAGATTTTAAAAAAGAAGAATTTTAAGGTAAGGAATGAATCCCCTGTTGCTGAAGCTTCTTTGGGTTTTCCCAGAGCCGTCTGATACCAGCCACCAGGGCGGCAGCCTAGAGCCATGGTCAAAAATCCGGAACCTTCAAACCAGCTACTCTGGAAGAAAGATGATCAGGAAGCACATGGGTGGTTGTGCATAGTGATGGCGTTTGGGCTAAGTCACTCATCTCCAGTGGAGGGGCTCCTCATCTCATGCTTTGAGCTGCAGGGTTGTTACCTGACTTGAAAATACAGGTAGCTGGGGAGCAAGAGCTGGTTTCCCCTGAAGATACAGAAGGATATGGAAAGTAGAAATACCTCCTCTGGTTCTGTTTATCTTCATATGGAAAATCATAAAGGTTTATCTGTAGCAGAAGTGATAGGCAAATATTTGTAGTTTGCCTGCATCTTTTTAAAATGTAGTCTTGGATTCGCAGCTACCTGCAGATATTAATAATACCCCAAAGTTGCATCATTTTCACTAATTTACAAAGTCTTTGTTCATATTGCTTTTGTAGATACTTAGTTGAATTGATTTTTCTATAAATGACTCTTAATAAGTAAATGAGATCAATTGACTAAAAATTGAAATGTGTAATGGGCCTGCATTACCCAGTCATGCATCCTAAGCATGAAAGTCTTTGAAAATTGTCAGTAGGCACTGATGATTCAAGAAGCCTTGATTTCTTGAGCTCTTGGTTTATAAGCTGGTGACAACCTTGGATGAAATTCTGCATATTTGTAAGTAAAATTCTGAAACTTTGGAGAAAAGGGGTTATTTCAAATCTGTCTTATGAGAATATCCATGCATGTTGTGTCTGTGTTGACTCAAATTCTAAATTAGCTGCAGTGTGAACTAATCATTCAAAGCACTAAAGCTTGGCCTTGGGATGAAATTAAAGAAGAAACATTTATGTGAAATCATTAGAGAATTACCCTCAAAGTAAGATCACTAAATCCATACATATTTTCTTAAGGGAAAAAAATGAAAGTATCATCAGTTTCTGATTCTAAACTGAAGAAAAATTAGCCTGTGGACCATAGAAAACAACCTGTGTTGGACACTGCATGGTGTTTTTCCTACCTCTCATTTTCATTGTAACTAATATTTCCTAATGTATTCAACAAAGAAATGTAAAATAGAAATCTGTACTAGAAGGCTCCGATTTATCAATCACAAGAGCTCAAGTGACTGTTCTGGTACAGGGCTAGTATTGGGGTATCCGTGTCCCCAGTACACGATCCCAGCAGGTATTTCTAGGGATTAAGGATGCCCCAGAATAAGAAGTGTGAGAGCAGCAATGCAAAAGAGAGAGAATGACAGAAAAACAGGAGACAAGGAAGTAGAAGGTGCCACTTTCCATTCTTGACTTACCACCCATTTCAGAAAACATCTGCCCGTGTGTTTCCCAGAGAACACTCCCTCCTCACTCTCAGGCACCCATTCATTCATCAGCAACCTTTTACTGAGCATCTGTCATGAGCCCAGCACTGAGCTGGACCCTGAGACTACAGAGCTGAGTGATACGTGGCCCCTACCCTCAAGGAACCACAGAATGCTAAGAAATGAGCAGAGAAAGGAACACTCGAGACAGAGGAAAATGCTGAATGTTAAAAGCCTAGATTCACTCTGGCCTCTGCTGTTGGCTGGGCTGGCTTTACAAAGAGTGAGTTTTTGCCAGCCTCTGACTATGGGTATGCTTTCCCCAAGCAACAGGGAGGTACACGCACGGGGCTGCTGGGGAGAGCTGCAAATGAGGCTACCAGGAAGGCAAGGGACCCGTGTGAACCAAGGACCTGGGCACCAGGCTGAGAAGTTCAGGTTGGATTCTGCAGAGGGGACCCATGGCAGCTTTTACACCCAGGGAGAGGTGTCTGGGTTTAGGAAAGGCCAAGGACACAACGTGAAGCATGCTGTCTCATGTTCGACCTTGGGGCATACCGCGCGCAGATGATTCTTCTCCAGGGCCGCTCTCGCCAATGTCAGAGCCCTCCTGTGTTCTAGATCCGTGACTTCATCCTGGGACTGCACAGTGAGGACAGCTTGTCTCTGTATCTCCACGAGGCCTGGGAGCTCAGCCAGGAAGATGCGAAGCCCAGGCTGACTTCCCCACTGGAAGATGGACCCCTCTGCTGCAGGCAGTGGAAAAAGAAAAAAAACAAAATGCTGGGTTGCCCAGTGTCTTCTGCAGCTCACCGCTTGGTGAGGGGACATACACCACGATCCCTTGCTGTTGACCTATTTTGACCTATTTCCCTTTTATTTCTTACTGCATCATCTGGCTGTGACCCACCATAAAAAAGACATCCAAACTGTGTCCCTTTTCAGCCTCGGCTCCCACCCTAAAACTGCAGCAGACAGTTGCTTGAAGTGGCCCAAAGACAGTCTTTCTGACTCCCTCATGCCTTTTCACTGACTATTGCCTCCACCTGGAATGTTCTCTGTGACTCTGGCAACCTCCTACTTCCCTTTCCAGATGCAACCCCCGTAAAGGCTTACCTTTGCTGAGGTCTCCAGCTGGAGGCCATGCCCGCCTTCTCTCTGCCCCCTTACACTGTGCGTTCTAGTCTGTTCTACACTGAGCCCACTGCTGCGATTAACATCCCTCACAGCTGCCTCCCTCCCTTGCTGTGAGCCCTCAACACACTGGAAGGGTGGAGAATGTGTTCCTTTCATTGGTTGTCTCCCCAGCTCTCCAACATCTCGGCACATAGGAGATGTTGAGCCAACGTGGACTTCTCACAGTGACTTCCCAGATAACCCTTCACATTCTTACCGCATTTTACAGAGCTCACACTAGAAAAGCCCTCTCAACAGCTTTCGTCTTCTATATGCAATAATCTGCATTTACTAGCCCCAACTAGAGATGAGAAAACAGAGGTTCTAAGATGTAAGGTGATTTGTCCGAAGTCCCATAGCCAAAAAGTGGCAAAGCTAAGTCTTGCTCCTGGGTAGCCTGGTCTGCTCAGAGCTCTCTGGGCTGCTCAATAGGGAAGCGGCGCTGAGTTGCAAGTCCCAGGTTCAAAGATTTACTTTAGACACAGTCTCCATCCAGCACCCAGGGGCCTCATCTGCTCCTCCCCTCACCCAGTCCCACCAGTTCCAGCCTGAGCACCCCTTGGTGGGCTATCCTGAGGGTAGGGACTCCAAGCACCCAGACAGATAGGGTGCTTGTAAGAGGTTACTTGGGATGGCCTCTGGCAGGCTGACTCAAGTTCACATGATGGTCAAGTTAGCAAGCTGAGGCTGCCACCAGGACTACAGTGCCCGGGGGAAGAATGAGAGCTTAAATTACATCTCTTGCAAACCCACCCCTCATGTGGATTTGCATACAAAATCTTACATTAGAGCCCACGTCCTATCACAATGACCATAAAACCAGAAATAGGAGAGCTAAAATTAATGAGCTCTTTAGGTGTTTACAAATTGTCTCAATTTTAATTTACCTGATTAATTTGTTTTGAACAGGAAATATATTTGCAGGTTTGAAATTCCAAAGGCACACGAAGGTGGACAGTAAACATTGTCCTTCCAGCCCTTGTCCCCTCCTCACCAATTTCCCCTCTCCAGAGGTATTTCATGAATAGCCAAGAAAATACATACACGCACATATATGTGCATATTCTTTTCTCCCATTTTTATACGATGGGCAACCTATTTATACACTATTCTATTGTACATCTTGATGAGTTTTACATTTGACAATGTATCTTGGAACTCCTCGTGCCTCAGCACACAAGGCGGTGCCCCCACCTTTTTTACAGCCGTACAGTGTCCCATTGTATGGCTATGCCAAACTTTGTTTAACCAGTCCCCTAGTGAGGGACACTCCATTTGTTTCCCATCTGTTGCTATTATAAATAACATTGCAGTGAATAACCTCATACCTACATCCCGCCGTTCACAGGGGAGTACATCCGTAAGACAGATCCGCAGGCTTGGAACTGCTGGCCCAAGGGGTCCATGGATTTGTAATTTCAGTGAGCAATGTTGCCAAGTGGTCTTCCACAGAGTGTGTACTAGTTTAAAATCTAACCAGTAGTATACGTGCAGACCGCTGTCCCCACCAAAGTCCCTTTAACTCAGCCATCAGGGATGGTCTGGGGAGTCACAGAAGGCAGGAAGCCCAAATAACTTCCCTGTATTCAGAAAATAAAGATGGGGAAATGCAAATCAAAAGCACAGGGAGACACCACTTCACGCCCACTAGCATGGCTAGAATAAAAACAAAAATAAAATGGAAAAGGAGTGTTGCCGAGGCTGTGGAGAAATGGAAAGCCTTGTGTGCAGCTGCTGGGAAGGGAAAGTGGTGCAGCTGCTCGGGAAAACACTTTGGTGGTTTCTCAAGAAGTTAAACATAAAATTCCCATATGATCCAGCAATTCCGCACCCGCCATGTACCCAAAAGAATTCAGGTACTCAGACAAATACTGGCTCATTGAGTGTTCATTGCAGCATTGTTCACAATAGCCAAAAGGTGGAAACAACCCAAATACCCATCCAGGGATGAATGGATAAATAAAATGTGATAGGTACATACAAGGGAATGTTAGCCAGAAAAAAAAAAATTCTGATGCATGCTACAATACTACCAACGAACCTCAAAAACCTGCTGAGTGAAAGACGTCAGGCACAAAAGGTCACATATGATTTTATTTATATGTGACTGCCATATATTTATAAATATAAATGTATTTATATCTATATTCCAACTGCCATTGCCTCAGAGCTAAACTCCTTGAACGGTGGTCAGTCGGCCCAGTGGGGCCTTGCTATTAGCAGGAAAGGGTTCCCACTATGTAGGAAATAATTCACTGCCAAAGGGAAAAAATGGAAAGGAAATAGTCTGATTGTCATTTTCTTATTCTATACAAATAACAGAAGTCATCATTCCCTGATCCTTCTTTCATCTCGAAATGTATGAGGAAATAGCATGAGGGGTAAGAATCAGCTTCTACAAACATCATTTAGTGCTTTGCGACATCGACAGCGCATGATCACCAACAATGCATGATCACCGACTATGCAGTCCCTTCCCTGTCCCAGCCTCCTTTGCTGGTAGGAGGCTGGACCACTAGTCTGAGCCCGTGGGCTCTGGGAATGTCCTATGGGCTGTGTATAGGCTGAGGCAGACCAAAGCAAGCCGACTGGCCACCTCCACTTCCTTTCCCTGCCAGAGTCTCACTGAGGGTCACCGGCTTCTGAGAGCACAGCCACCAGATGACAAAGGGATGCCCCACATGCATCTGACTGCACATGAACAAAAACTGAACTTTTATGGCACAAAGTCTCCGAGATTTGGGGGTGTATGTGTTACCACAGCAGAGTCCATCCGGCTCTGGGCCTCACATGGTGAGATGTTGGGTAGGAATACCCAAGAAAGAGTCCCTCAAGGGGACTTGATCGCAAGGAGCTTACAGTCTAGGTTGGGAGAGCAAGTGGGCAGATATTCCCATGTCAAATGTTGACATTCAAACCACAAAGTCAGCAAACGGATACAGATATTATTCCAACAACTCCATGATAGAAAGGTGCTTTTACATCTGAGGTAGAAGGATAGGCTGGCAGGCAAGCAGTTACGGCCCCGACAGAAAACATTTCATTCAATAGGAGGCATAAATACGGGGACCTATGCAAAAAAATGTAAATATGTGATCTCAAGGTGGCAGGCTAACTTCTAATTTTGTAATTTAACATATTTTAAAACATACAGAAAAATATTCTACTTCTCACCCAACATGAACAATGATCATTTCTCTATGCAGTGCTAGCCACCCCATACACTGCTTTCCCTGCAGTACTTGTAAATGATCTAATAACCAGACCATGGTCCAATGACTCCAATTGTCTTTAAAAAAATCTTCTCACAGTCAGTTTGTTCAAATCAGAACCCAAAGAAGTGCTAAACACTGAACACCTCACTGGTGTGTCTTTAAAATCTAATTTCAGTGACGAGTTTATCCTCACAGACAATTGTTCAATGCCATTTCTAAAAATCAACTTCGTGAACATAAATAATGCATTGTAAAGGCCCTGCCTTCTCTGCTCACACATAAGGACAAAAGAAGTCTCATAAACATCCCCTAGAATATCGACATCCACCTAATCATGTTGAAACCCAACAGCAAAATGTCTGGCCAGGCTGCATGTGTCAAACGCACATGACAAGTGGCCCATGAGGGCAGTCAGATCTGAGACCCAGACGGCCCTCCGAAAGTGGCACGGGGAGAAAAGAGGGCGCACAGAGTGTGTCCATCTCCTTAACCGCTGGGACACATGTAGTCCCATCCCAAGACTCAGGGAACTGTGCAGAAGGTTGTAGTCTATCAGATAAGGTAGAAAGTGGCCCGAGACTCTGGTCCTTATCTTCTGGCTTTTCACTAAGCACAAATAAGTGAAGTTCTGGGAGGGAACGACTGGCAGCCCAGAGGGGGTCGAGCCTGTGCCTTTGGCCCAGTTGCAACACTACCAACCAGGTGAGCAAATGAGACCCAGAGCTCTCATGGTCAAACTCCAAACTCAGATATTTCCATTCGCTGATATTGTAGAATCAGAGAGGATTTTAGAATCTGAGAGAGAGGGGAAAAGAGAGCAAGAGGGGGAAACAAACAGAGACACAGAGGGCAAGAGTAGGAAGCATCCACCACTCATCCATCCACCGATCCATCCACACAAAGGGGAGGAGAAGGCAGCAAGAAGGATCCAGAAAAAGGGATAGGCCAAGAGCAGGTGTGAGGTGGACAGAAGAACAGAGTGGAGGAGAATGCCATCTTTTCAAAGCTGACAGTTTCCCTGAATAATTCCACTCCAGAAACTAGCCACTTTAGAAGAAACTAACAGGTAAGCTGCCTGTTTCCTGCAAAGGTCGCTGCTCAGCCAGCGTTGTTGAATTGCCCACATTGCGCTCACTCCCCGGATGGGTGCAAACAGCTGGCCTTTGTTTGGTTTTCCCAGCCACAGTGCTAATGAAATAGAAGCAATCAACACAACAGCGTATCTGATGCAGACTACTGGTGTTGAAGAGGACCCAGATCCCAGAAACCAGCCAAAGAGATCATGAAAAGATCTGAAGAGAAAGCAGAGGGCTGCGGCTGGGGTGATATGCCAATTAAGAGGGCTTGTCTGGAGCCGC